GGCAGGAACATGGAGTATTTGTCCATTTTAATTAGATTGTTGTTTACCTATTAATTATATATCATATCTTGTCATATAGTTTTGATGGTAACAGATGGTGCTAGGAGTTAGTAAGGGTTTGAACAAAATAAGATTCCACATGATTTATTAAGTTGCACTTTATTAGTGAGTGGTCTGCTTTAGTCAGGTTATTCTCCCAAATAAGGACTGTGAAACATTTCACTAATTTTCGTAATTATTCTTTTGTGGACTCTTAAGAAATATTGAGCATAAAAAGTCTGAGATGAGAGATGTCTATTTAGAAACAAAATGAATTACTGGAGGCATCTTTATATTTAAGGAATACATATTACCAAATCATATAATTGGTATGAAGTTTAATGTATTTTGCTAGGACAGTGTTAGGGAAGCAAAATTTCATGTGTTGGTAAAAATGTAGGCATAGAAAATGTTTTATATATGTATACAAAATTATGATTTAGGATAGGAAAATAATAAGATGATGATTTAGTTATGTATATCAAAGACATTCCTTTCCTGCCGTTTGAATTTAACAAAAAGACTAGGTTCTTTGTTTACCAAAATATTCTAAGAGGAGTTCTAGTGTCTAGTGAAGTCGAAAAACAGAATTTCCATATTCAAAAAGTAAATGTCAACTAAATAGACCTTCTGAGTTTATTTATTCAAGATTTTATTAATTTTTCTGGTTAACTACTCAGTGTTCTAAAAGGAATAAATTTTATTTATGTGTATATGCATATATATGTGAAGGGATACAGACAGTAAAACAGAGAGAGGAGAGGGAAAGGGAGAAAAGGAAGGAGGGCTTAAAATTTTCAGCTTTTAGTCTTAGGTAGTTTATTAAAAATTTATTGGAATCCTTAATATCATTAGCTTTAGTTTGTGTTACTATTTATTAACTCTTAAGGTTCTTATTTTGAAATTGATGATGAGTGTTTTATAGCAAAAAGTAAGAAGGCCCTACTTTTATTAATTTAAAGATTTGCTCCAGAAGGGGATCCCTGATTCCTGTGTATCAGATCTTCAAAACTGTGGCCTTCTGTTACCTTTTACCTTCAGTAAGCAGCTTTGTTTTTGTTAGTTGTGTTTTGTCTTGTCTTGTTTTTGTATTTTAGTTTGTCCCTACTTACCAGTTTTTAGAAATAAAATTTGCTCTTGGTGTCAAAACTATTAATAATAATTCTTTGTGGTGGGGTGATATTTTAAGGTAAGTGCCTAATTCCACATGTTCACAGCAGACTGTAAGATGTGTAATCCATGAACTCCTAGTGTGTACAAAATGCTCACATAACTGAATATATTAAGCACTTAAGCTTATCTGTGTTACGGAATTGAGATCTTTATCACTATATATTACAGTGTCTTTAAAACTGATTTGTTCAGGAAAGAACTAAGTGATTTTTTTTCTCTACTGAATGAGGAAATTGTCGTTTTAATGTGGCTTTAGTTTCATGTTTTTCCTCCGTAGAATACTGAGTGCTTAAAAAGCAATCTCAAATATTGTGCTATAATGTTATAATATAGGAAGGATACTGCAGTATAGTTATAGTAATTAAAGAGACTATTGTAGGAAAAAATTATTTTTCATTTAGAATACCTGTAACCTTAGCTTGAAAGTTTGAATTTTTAACATTTCTTCCCTTTGTGAAAATGTGGGACTATATTTCCTTTGGCAAAGTTTTTCAAATGTAACGTACTAATTTTCAAAAAAAGAAAAACACTAAAAGCATGTAAGTTACTCTAATTTGAAAAGTTATCCTTTATAAAGGAATGAGATTATTTCTTTTTGTTAAAGCATGCGAAATATCATATACATTGGTTGTGTTGTTTTATCTGAGGCAATAAATATATAAATAAAAGACTATTTGTTGTTGTCAACAGAAATAGCAATTGAAAATAGAAATGAGGTTTTCTTTGCAGTTGATTCTTTTCAACTCCTGGCCTATCACTTTGCTTCTTGGAAAGACTTTTATTTCAACAGCCAGCCATGCATATATTTACCTTTTCCAAAGAAAATTGTAGTACTGATTACTTTTTCTGTAATTATTATGGTCTTTCTTTTCTTAAAATAGCAATATATGAAAAATATTTAGGAAAATGTGATGATTGATGAATTAGTTTTACTACTTAATACTGCTTTCAAGCAACATAATCAGTTAACTGATACTCCTTAAGGACTTTAAACATAGTACGCCAAAACTGTTACTGAATGAAGAGCTAATGTGCTTTGGCGTAGTGACCATTTGGGAAAAGATGATTGTAGGATTGACCTCCTAGTGATATGCAATCAGTGTTTTTAGACAGTGTCTTAAAAAAGTTAGTAGGTTGCATTAAATCCAGTTCCTTAGGCACACAAGTTTCCCCAGAACAGGTTTTAGGAGTAATAAGTACTGGGACAATAACAACTAAATACTAATCATTCCAAACATTAAAGAACAGAGGTTTTTTTTTTTTTTTTTTTTCCCTTCCTAGTAGAAAAACCTAACTTTAGAGTTCTCAACTTTCATTTTTTTCTTATATAATTGAGCAAAAGCACAACAAAAGTAAATATATGTTATATTTGATTTTTGGGCTCATTTTATTTTTTTCTTCTTTTTTTCCCACTCATGGTACTATATATTGTGACAGGTTCAAAATTAAAAATAATCTGTAAGCGGGATGTTGAAATCATCATGATTTGATGTCTGGATGCTGATTTGTTTTTAACATATAGGAAAAATGATAGCCATTTGTCTATGCTGACTACTTAAGAGAGAGGTGAGGATTTGATGAGATCCTCAGTGGTAGTGGTGGGACTTACATAGGGCATCGGCTAGCATGGTGGGTAGGATGGGTGAGTGCAGATTCTAAATATATTAGAAGTTCCTTGCCTGGAGCTCCTACCTCCTTCTTTCTTTAAGAATCAGTTCAAATTTATTTCTCTCGTAAAATATCTTAGCTTGTACATTCATTGTCACTTTGTGTGTACACTGATCATATTGAATTATGATTGTTTACATGTCTGTTTTCCATTAAACTGTAGGCCCGTGAAGCTTAAGCGGGGGTAGTAATTTATTTATATTTTTGCCTCCAATGTTTTCAGCACAATGATTTGATTCATAATAGATGTATAATAAATGCTTGTTAAAAGATGAATAAAAGTATTTCATTTTATAGGGTGTGGCTATCATGAAAGAGAATGCAGTAGATCTGTGAGGAGCTCTGTAAAGTTTTTCAACTTTTAAGTAATGATAAAAATATTTTTATAAGGCAATGTCTGGGTTGTTTTTTTCCTCCAATTTGCTTTTCCAGGTTCAACTATCTTTATTTTTTGCTAATATATAAGTACTTCATGTGTTTGCTAAAATAGTCAAACAGTACCGAAATGTATGAAGTTAAAAACCACTTGTAATTCTTTCCCCAGTGATGACCATTGTTTCTTACTTGAATATGTCCTTCCAGACTGCTTTTTAAAAATATCTTCATCTTCTCTCATTTCCTTTTAAAATTTTATAAGCCCTTTCTAAAGATACTGTTTTGAAATCTTAATTCTTTACTCTTCACATTGTGAGTCTATAACCTTATATTATACAGAATGTACTTTGAGAATTCCAGGTGACATTTTCAGACCTTAAGTGTACTTCATTTTGAAATATATTTTTGCCTTTGCTTCTATGATATTATGCCTTCCTGATTTTCCTGATTCATTGTGTTGTATTCCTCAAGATCTAGTGCTTTTCTCTTCTCACTATACCCTTCTCTTGGCCATCTAGTCTGTGTCTATGACTTCAGTTAACCGCTTTGTATGTAGGACTCCCAAGTTAACAGATCCAGCCTAGGCTATTGTTATGACCTCCAGGCCTGCATATCTATCTATCTATTTGATGTCACTTTTCTTGGATTTCATGATGGTTCCTCAAATTTGACGAGTCTAAATTTAAGTTTATTATATTCTTCCTTTGTTCAGTCCTTCTCTGTTTAGTTTTCCCAATTTTAGTCAAGAATATCTTTCTATCCAGTTGTGCAACCAGAAAACTCTCTTACTATAACTAATCCATCAACAAATACCCCTTATCATGTACATAACTGATATATTTACGGATTTGTTTGGGACTTAGTTTTAATCTGTTTATCTGTATGTCTCTCTTTACACAAACCTTACACCTTTAAGTAACAGGATTTATTGTTTTTCTACATTATACGGCTATTCCCTTTATATCATTATTCTTTTAAAAATTGTAGGTATTCTCAGACAATCTGCATGGACTTCAGAATCTTCCTGCCGTCTTCTGTCTCACAGTCCCTTTGGAATTTTTATTAGATTTGCATTAGGTGTATCAATTACTTTATAGAAAATTTATATATGCCAATAATAAGCATTCGCATCCAGGAGTATGTTGTGCATCTTGATTTGCCATTTGGGTCCTTCAAACAAGTCACACATTTTTTTTAATATCTAGGTTTTCACAATGCACCAAGACTGTTGTTGCCCTTGTGCTAGGTTATTTTAGTTATGGTTGGTATTGGTTTGTTTGGTGTTTAGCACAGTCCCTGGCATATCACTCACAGTAAATATTAAGTTTTGAGCAGTGTTTAGTGTATAGGGAATCTTTCTTTCTTTCTTCTTTTTTTTTTTTAATAAGTCATGCAGTCTTTATGATTTAAAATTTTTAAAATTTGATTATCTTCAGTTTTTGTAGACACTATTAGATGCAAATTATAATTTTGTCTTCCTTTTAAAATTTATACTTCTGATTTCTTTTACTTGACCTACTGAGTTGGGTAAAATCTCTCTAACAATGTTGAATTAATAGGATTGGCATTAATAGCTAATATCTTTAGGTGTCTGTGTTTAAATGGCAAAATCCATTTATGTTTTGCATTATAAATGCTATTTATGAGTTTTTTTTCACCCTAATGCTGTATTGATGCATGGAAGTTTTATATTTTGTTTGCTTAGTTTATTTTTATTTTAATTTAGTTAATTAAATTTTTTTTAGAGAGGAGTCTCACTCTGTCATCCAGTCTGGAATATAGTGGTGCAGTCATAGCCCATTGTAGCCTCCATCTCAAGGACTCAAGAGATCTTCCCTCAGAGGCCTCCCAAGTAGCTGGGATTACAGGTATGTGCCATCATACTCTGCTAATTGAAACAAAGTTTTTTTTTAATCAAAGGTTTGCCACATTGAGTGACACATTGTTACATCTTTTTTCCTTTAGTTGACTTACATAATCAGTTAATAGACTTTGTAATCTTTGCCCTTGCATTTGTGAAAAGATTACTTCTTGTTCATGATGTATTGTGAGATTATTCCTCTTGTGCTCTCTTTGTCATGTTTTGGGGTTAGGATCATGCCAACATAAAATGACAGTTTCTTTCTTTTTGGAAATTTGTCCTTTCTTAGAACAGATTTGTCCTTTCTTATTTTTTATTTCATTTAGATCTTCAAATTTGTTGGCCTAAAGCTGTACATAATACTCTTCACCCTCCCGCTCCAGTGTTTAAATAATCTTATTGAGGGCTGGTGTTATATTATCTTTGTTGCTGTTACTAACAATACTTTGTTTTTTCCCCTTCCACTTGGTCAACTTATCAAAATTGACTTAGTCTATTTTATTGAGCTTGCAAAGAAGGAGAGAACTAGCTTGTTTGCTTCTCTGCTATTTTATTTGGTTTATTTTGTTTTTATAATCTTCTTAAGATAAGTGCTAGCTCATTTATTTGTTATATTTTCTTTTGTTTTACATTTAACAGAGAGCTAATTTACGATTTTTTTGCTCTTACTAGAGCTTTGATTGAACCCTCTAAGTTTTTACATGTATATGTAAAAAAGTGTGTGTATCATTTGTATGATATGTGTATGAAATTAATTTGCTTTAATTAGCTTTCAACCTTTTCATCATAACCTAGATCACAGATACAGAAAACCATTCAAAACAAATATATGTCTTGGTGAATTATTTTAAGGTAAACGTGCTTGTAATTATTACTTAAGTCAAGAAATAGAACTTTACCAGCCACTGCAGAAGCTCTTTAATATGTTCTATGCCAGTCACAACCCTCTTTTTCCCTCCAAAAGTAACTTCTGACTTTCAGAATAATAAATTATTTCTGTTTCTTTATTTTTTTTTTTGAGACGGAGTCTTGCTCTGTCCCCCAGGCAGATCTCAGTGGTGCGATCTCAGCTCACTGCAAGCTCCGCCTCCCGGGTTCACGCCATTATCCTGCCTCAGCCTCCTAAGTAGCTGGGACTGCAGGCGCCCGCCACCGCACCCGGCTAATTTTTTTGTATTTTTAGTAGAGACAGGGTTTCACCGTGTTAGCCAGGATGGTCTCGATATCCTGACGTCGTGATGTGCCCACGTCGGCCTCCCACAGTGCTGGGATTACAGGCGTGAGCCACTGCGCCCGGCCCTATTTCTGTTTCTTTATGGTTTTGTCACTTAAGTGTGCGTCTCTAGACAGTATAGTTTAGAATTGTTCATGTTCACTTCAAAAAAGTTTTTTTTTTTTTTTGAGATGGGGTCTTGCTCTGTCACCCAGCCTGGAGTGCAGTGGTGTCATATCTGCTCACTGCAACTTCTGCCTCCCTGGTTCAAGCTATTCTCCTGCCTCAGCCTCCCTAGTAACTGGGATTACAGCTGTGGGCCACGACGCCCAGCTAATTTTTGTATTTTTAGTAGAGATGGGGTTTCACCATGTTGGCCAGGCTAGTCTTGAACTCCTGACCTCATGATCTGCCCGCTTCAGCCTCCCGAAGTGCTGGGATTACTCCCAAAGTGGTGTGAGCCACGGTACCCGGCCTCCCCTGCGTGCGCTCCCCCGCCCGCACTCTTTTTTAGACAGGATTTTACTCTGTTGCCCAGGTTGGAATGCAGTGGCATAATCACAGCTCATTGCAGCCTTGAACTCCTGGGCTCAAGTGATCCTCCTGCCTAAGCCTCCTGAGTAGCTAGGACTACAGATGCATACCACCATGGACCGTGGCTGGCTTATTTTTAAATTTTTTTAGAGACATGGTGTCTCATTTCGTTGCCCAGGCTAGTCTTGAGCTCCTGGCTTCATCCTCCTGACTCGTCCTTCCAAAGTGATGAATTGAGCCACTGAGTCTGGACTATATTTTCCTTTGAAGACTTTCTTAAGCAGTAGGTTTTTCCCTCCAGCCCTTTCTTTTCTTTATATGTTATTCACTGAAGTACCTGAGTTGTTTGACCTGCTGAGTTCCCTGCAATCTGTATTTTGTCCATCTTGTATTCATGGTGAAGTTAAACATTTTGTTCTATGTTTTTTTCTAAGTTGGCAGGTAGTGTCAGAGTTTGATTGCATTTAAACTTAATCCCTTAGATAGGACTGTAGGTGCCATTGTATTTTCTCATCAGGAGGCACATAGTGTCTTTTTAAAATTTTAAATGTTGGCAGGTATTGATTCTCAAAGCGTGCATCCATTAAGTCATCATGTCATATGTTATATAGTGTTTTTGTTATGTAAAGTAACTAGAAATGAAATCTGTTTCCATTTGATTATCTAACAGGGACTTTTTTGTCATTAAGAGAGTCTAGATTTGTCCGGGCGAGGTGGCTCACGCCTGTAATCCCAGCACTTTGGGAGACTGAGGTGGGTGGATCACGAGGTCAGGAGTTCGAGACCAGCCTGGCCAATATAGTGAAACCCATCTCTACTAAAAATACAAAAAATTAGCCGTGCATGGTGGCGGGTGCCTGTAGTCCCAGGTACTTGGGAGGCTGAGGCAGGAGTATCGCTTGAACCCAGGAGGCAGAGGTTGCAGTGAGCCGAGATCGTGCCATTGGACTCCAGCTAGGGCAACAGTGCGAGACTCTGTCTCAAAAAAAAAAAAAAAAAAAAAATTCTAGATTTGTATTGTGGTCAATGAATGTGAATTCTACATTCTCACAGTGTATGAATATGATCTTTATCTCCTCTTACATATGAAAATTTGCAAATGTCCTATGGCATTTGTAAAGATTTATCTTATTTTGCTTGTCATTTAAACGTTTTAGGCCAGGCTTGGTGGCTCATGCCTGTAATACCAGCACTTTGGTGGGAGTCCAAGGTGGGCAGATCACTTGACATCAGGAGTTTGAGACCAGCCTGGCCAACATGGTGAAACCCCATCTCTACCAAAAATACAAAAAATTAGCTGGGTGTGGTGCTGCATGCCTGTAATGCCAGCTACTTGGGAGGCTGAGGCAGGAGAATTGCTTGAACCTGGGAGGCAGAGGTTGCAGGGACCTGAGATGCCACTGCACTCCAGCCTGGGCAACAGAGTGAGACATCGTCTTAAAAAAGAAAAAAAAGTTTTTTATATATATAGCTATTAAAAATGAAGATTTATTTATTTATTTATTAGAAAGAGAATAGGAAATAGACCATAAAATATTTAGGAAATTGATGCGGAAAATATGGAGAATGAAAGATTTAGTTTCTATATTGTGATTGAAGGCTGAAAGATTTCGTTTCTATATTGTGATTGAAGGCTGAGAGTGTGATTAAACATACGATTTAGAACAGGGGTTGATAAAATCTGGCCCATGAGCTAAATCTGGCCTGACATCCATTTTTGTACAACCTACAAACCAAGAATGGTTTTGTTTTAAAACAGTTTAAAAAATTCAAAGGAGGAATGCAATTTCTTGACATATGAACATTATATGAAATTCACATTTGTGTCTATAAATAAAGTTTTATTGTAACACAGCCATGCTTATTACTTTACAGCAAAGTTAAGCAGTTGCAACAGCTACTGTATGGCCCACAGAGCCTAAAATATTTACTATATCTAGTTGTTTTTCAGAATAATGTTGCCAATACCTAGCTGAGAACAACCCCTTTTTCCTCATCTTTCTCACTCCCATTTAATCTGTTATTAACAATAAATGATTTCTTGTGGGAGACCTTTTTGAAAAATATTCCCATATGTAACTATGAATTCAACCTGTTCATGACTATTAGTTTTTGATCACATCGAAATTCATTATTTTTTGTTTTTTTAATTATTTTATTATTTATTATTATTGGATACTTTTAAAATAGAAGTCCATTTTATATTGACTATGTTATTAAATCAGTGACTTTTCCTAAATGCTTTTCACACAGTCTTGGCAATTGTTACTATTAAATTATAATTTAAGGTGATAATTTTATATTATATAGTTGGTTACATTTGTGTTTTCCGTAAAGATTTCCTTATTTACATAAACTGACATTGCACCTTAAGTAAACGAATTGTTGAAATCATTCAGAGAACAAATCCTCTCAGGTTTTGGGATAGGATTGTGATTTTATTAAGGGTTAAATTTTAGAGTTGACTTCTTATAATGTCATAGTTTGTTGTTTTTAGGAGCTATAAAATAGAATTATAGTAGAACAAGGGTTCTTGAAAAAGTACTCTGGTAATATGTATATGGGTAGACAGAAGAACTTGGTTGTTGGAAACCATGCATATGGGTTACTTCAATCTGCAAGAGATAGGTTTTGCATCATGAAAATTTCTAATGTTTTCATAACATGATTGTGCTGGGTAATCAGAAAGCCAGGACTGACTCATTCTTAGAAATCAAGATACCCCTGTTTTGTTTTGGTGTGTAGCTGTGTCTTTCTCTGTGTCTGTATCCTGATTGTTTTACTTAAATTTCTGATATTTATGTCCTGATAAATTTTAAAATGTTAATTTTTAACATTAAAAAAAAATCTTCCTATAGCTGTTGCTTGGTTTAGATACAAAGAACAAAAATTAGCTCAGCATGGTTGCATGTGTCTGACCCCAGCCACTAGGGAAGGTGAGGTGGGAGGATCACTTGAGCATGGGAGGTTGAGGCAGCAGTGAGCAGTGACTGTGTCACTATACTCTGGCCTGGGTGACAGAGTGATACCCTGTCTCAAAAACAATGACAACAACAACAAAAACAAAACAAAGAATGCCAGAATGTAGACCACAAATGAAAGTTGCAGTGAAAGCAAGCAAAATATATTTCCATTTTAATGCTTGTTAGCAGCAAATTGCATTGTTAAACTTTATATTTTTATTTGGAAAAGTGATGTATCGGCACACAAACTTCTTATCCTCAACAACATACATCCAAATGGAATGTTAAGCTATTGTG